TTCTTGAATCAGCTTAATTATCTTCAATCTAGCCGTTGAAAATCAAGAGATTGATTTTTCCTTACCAACGGGTAGGATTTCTTCATTCAAGACTTTGATAATTTTCTAAGTCTTTTCTCACTTGTCCGCTTCTGAGAGTTCCGGTCTTTCTTGAGGCATCCGGTTCTTCGCTGACACATCCGGAAGAGTCATTCATAGACTTCCGGGTGAGAAAGAGATCCGTGCTAGTCTTCCGATTCGGATGACTTAGCCTTCAGCGAATTGTACCGAGACATCCGGTTATCATGTAGTGTTCCGGATTAGAGGATCTTTAACTACTTTGAGAAATCCTTACTTGTCTCTAACATTTCTGATCAAGATATCCAATTTCCATATCACTTAATTTGATTAAGTCTTCAAGCATCAAACCACTTAATGAAATATCACAATTTTATTGGAAATCTCAAGAACTCGGTTTTAACAATATTTCTAAAAAGAAAAATTACATTGAATATTGGGGGATGCCTAAAGTCCCTATTACAATCTAAATACATCATCATCAAAATCTATAATATTTTCCCAACAATTTCCCCTTTTTTGATGATGACAAACAAGTGTTTAAGAGTTTCGGTCGCTGTACTGAGAACTAATTTTATAACTTTCTTTTAGTTTCTTATAATATACAGCTTGTTAACAAAAACTCTTAAAAAAATACAATTAAAATTACAACAATTCCTAAGCCAAGTCTTGTCTTGAGATTTCTGATATTTTCTGTCATTTGCTGCTTTTATTTCCAGCGGATTTTGCTTGTTAGTACAGATGGCGGTGCGTTTGATAGATCTTTAATATCTAAAGTGGACATTTGGAATCTAGGAAGCAGCATCTCTCTAAAAAGCAAAAACAAAAACAAAAAGAAAGTAGAGGGAAAGGAGGCGGCGGTGAAAGGAGAGAAAAAGGCAGAAGGAAAAGAAAAAGGTTTTGGAAAAGAGAATTGATTGTGAAAAAGATAAAATAAGGGTTTTTAAAGATGAAGGAAAAAATAAAATTTTGAAAAAGAGTTTAAAAGAAAACCTATGGTGACTAGGGAAGAAAAATTTTGAAAAAGGTGAGCAAGCCTGGAAAGAGAGAGGCTTGCATCACAGCTGCAATTGAAAAAGAGAAAATTTTTAAAAAGACTTGGGAGAAGGGTGCAGAGACAGCAGAGATAAAAGAAAAGAAAAGAAAGAAAGAGGGGGAGAGGGAGAGATGAAAGTAGGCCAAGATAAAAAATTTTGAAAATAAAGTTTGAAGAACAAAAAAGAGAGAAAGAAAAAGATAAAACAAAAATGGAGAGAGTGTTGTTCCGGAGAAGGTGTATGGCGAAATCCTGAAAAATGCGAGATTTTCACCATATACCTTCTCTACTGCCGAGATTCTTACCATAGACCTTGAATGTCTTTTCTTCTTATTAGGCTTTCTGCATTGCCGTCTATGAGGGTGAGAAAGTAAAATTTCTCCATTGAGGATATTTTTCTTGGTGTTTTTCTCAGAGAGTGAGTTTGAAGACTTTTCATATTGAGAGAGTTGTTTGTGATATGAATGGATTAGAATGTCTTGGTTTAAATAGGAGGAGAGATTGAGAGAGGGGAGGTTCACGGGTTCCATTTAGTGGGTAGTTGGAACAGTGAGAGTAAAAGAGTTTCAACTTCCAAGAAGTTGAATTTTGAAAAGTTGAAATAATCTTTTATCAGTTACCAGGGTGTTGAAACTGTTCTAATTAAGAGTCAGTTTTGTTTGGTTTGAAAAACGTAACTGTTCTGGTTTGGCTAAGCCCAAAAGAGTGGCCCAAAAAAAATCTATGCACTAAAGGGAAATTATTCTTATTGGGTTCTCAATGCCCAAAATAAAACTATCATTTTTCATTCCATATAGTTCTAATTTCTAATTAGGACGAGGTAGTACCAAAAAAAATTGTAATTCATTTTTAAAAGAAAAAGTGGTACTATTTTTCCAAAGTCCTGTACATTACAAAAATCCTAAGGACTAGTACTTTTAGAGCAAAGTTGGAATTGAACTAAGGATTAAAACTCAGCTTAAGAAGGTAGATTTTGTAAAGTACCTAAATCGAAGATCTCTAACTTTAGTACTTAAACTAAGATATTCGTCTTCCATTGCTTAGAGTTTATCAATAGTTCATTGCCAAAAACAATTGTTAGCCAAAAACAGTTAAGTTCCCCTTGAATTACATTCCCCTTGAATGTATGCGCTTAGTAACAAATCTCAAAAATCATACTTAAAATGAACATGATCAAGCATGATAAGCATAATTAAAAGAAGTATTAAGCAATGTTTAAACCAAAAACTCATGTTTAAACAAGAAGGTGTTTTCATCAAAGCAAAATAATATTTTCACATACTTCCCCCTGGTTTGATGGAAAGAGCCTTCACTGCTTCTTGCGCTTGGATGATCTGGCAGTCTCACCAATGCCTTGCATTATTCCACACTCTTCTTTGATGCACCTGAGGTTGTTGTATCTTTCTTTAGTTTGAGCATCTTTTGAGAAGTGAGAGGCAATGGTTCCTACAGCTTCTGTTCCATCAAGACCAGTGTGTGTCAGATGCTGCGTTGTGTTCTCCGGATTGCTCTGCTGGGCTTCAAGTATCAAATCCGTCATGTTCAGATGAGATGGGATGTATGTGAGTTCTCCTTTCTTGACTTCAATAGGAAGCTGTGGAATTAGGGAAGGACTATAGTGTTGAACAATTACATCTAGCTTGTGTTTGCCAGTGTAGGTGCCAAAATGTCTGAACAGCTTGAATGCTTCCTTCTGATTTTCAGCAATAACCTTGAGATAGTCTTGAGTCACCACTTGGTTTGCTGAGGACACTGCCAAGGTTGACCTAATATCCATCTGGAGAAAGGACATCTGCTTCTGTAGGCTGACTGTAACTGTTGCAATTTGCTCTTTGATTCTATTAACTTCTTTGAATTGAAGATGACAGTCAGATGTATAAGCCTCCATTGTGTTGCTCCCAAAGTTACTCAAAAGAGAAATAATCTCTAGATTCTTGTCCACCGATTTGCTTATCTCCTTGAGATCTGAGCAATGTTTTTCTTCGGATTTCTCTATCAACTTGTTATGCCTAGCTTCCATCTGTTCTATCTCTTGCCTAAAAGAGGCATGTTGAGACTCCAGGGCTGATTCAATCAACCCTTGGACCTTTCTTGTCCAGGTTTCCAGTACCTCATCCAGAAGGGTAGAAGTGGAAGAGCTGTGAAAGTGGAAGTTTGTTACCTGATGTGAAGAAGGTGCTCAGTGGAAGAGTTGCATAGGGAGGGATTCAACATCTCCTTGCTCAGCTTCTTCATCATCAATCCTCAGTGTCTTTTTAGACTCTTCCTCTGTCTCATTCATGTATTTTGAGATGTCCCTGGAGAGAGAATCTCTGTCATCATCTGCAATGTTCTGCTCAAAAATAGAAACTGGAGTTTCAGAGGTCTCTAGTCTAGCCATTTGAGCTTCCCTTTTAGCTTTTGCAGAACTTCTTTGAATTTCTACAGCTTGGACTTCCTGAAGGGCTTCATTTGTTTCTGGAGGAGTGGACTTCTCCAGATTCTCTGCTGACTTCTCCGGAATCTCAAGTTCAGTTGGATTGGAGATCTCACAAGAAGTTGTGAGAATCTCTTGATCTTGAGATTCGAGGGGTTGCTGAAGTTCTTCTTTTGAACTATTCTGGTTCTATTCTTGTAAGGGAGTGGCTTCATTTTCCTTAGGCAGAACAGCTTCAAAAGTAGGGGAGGTTTCCGGAAAAACTTGGAAATCCTCTGCTGTGGCTTCCATGTCAGCCTGTGCTTCAGTGGTGAGAATCATCTAATCTTCTGTTGTTTTTGAGAAGATTGGCCTGTACACTGCAGGATCCTCATCATCCACTTCAAACTCTGAGACTGGTGAGGTTGCTAAGTGTTCAAGATGCAAATCTTCATAGTTTCTTTGCCACACCCAGTCAACACCTAGAATTTGCTCACAGTAGTGGTTGACTGGCAGACCCAAGCATTTCTTGATTATCTTCTCATTTTTAAGTTGTTGGTCCCATCCCAACAACTGCTCTGCTGAGTTTCCAACTTTTCAAGCTCTCCAGTCAAAGTAGAGCTGCATGAATTGGCTGTTTGCATCATCTGTTTGAGCTTGTAATGGAGGAGATGGAAAACTCTGAACTTGAGGAGTTTCTTCATCCAATTGTTGAGGGCTCTTGTTGTGTGCAGAGGGTTCCTCAACTGGTTCCTTTCCCACCAACTCATCCAGGTTGGTACTTCCAGATGTGGAGGGAGAGATAATTCTTCTTTTCTTCTTCTTCTAAAGTTCCCCCTGGGCAGGAACTTCTTCTTCATCATCTAGATTCACCACCGCCAAAGTGTGTGGTGCTTCAGCACTGGGAGAGGGAGAAATCACGTGCTTCCTCTTTGATGACTTCTTCAGACCCATAATGAGGACATTATCTGAAGATCCTTCATCTTCTGTAGTGGAACTGACTCTGTTTTCTCCTTTGGAAGCCAGGTAGTAGAGCCAATATCTGCCTTCATACTTCTTTCCTTCAGAGGCAACTCCCAAGGATTCCAGAATGTACCCAAGGTACAATCCTTGACAAAGATATTTCTGTTTGGGCTTCCCTAAGTGCTTGGAAATAGAAATGAAGAAGTGTTTAGCCCAGTTTACCTTTGTCTTGGTAATGAGGGCGTTGAGGATGAATGCCCTTTCCTGAGTGATGTCATCAACATGTCCTCCAGTGCCACATTCAAGGCATGTGATGACCAGCTCCAGAACCAGTTTGTAGTCGTTCTTCAGATCTGCCTTCTTCGCTGGGCCAGAAGGGATTTGTCCAGAAATCCCAATAGTCTTCCAGTCCAGATTTTTGGTGGGAAGTCTCTTAATTTCACTTCCAGAGTTGGGAAGATGAAGCTTCTTCTCCAATTTCTTCTGTGAAATTTTCACTTTGGCCCCTCCAACAGTGGACTTGATAACGTGGATCGTCCTCTGTGGATTCTTCTTCGATTGGGCAGTCTTGATCTTTCCATTCTTGTAAAATTCAAGAACTTCATCTTCATACTTGGAGTGGATCTCCATATGAAGGAATTCGGTGAGTTCTTGAGCAGCAATCATCTCCAGATAGGTCTGATAGAACGCTGGTGAAGAGCACTTGCCTTCCAATTTCTGGAAGTGGACATTAGCACCAACAATCTTCATTTTCTCTGAAATTTGAGTGAAAGAATCTGAAGAATTTTAGGGTTCTTGAGAATTCTATCAAAGAGTTCTTGTGAAGAAGACGACAAAAATTTGAGTGGGCTGAGTGGGCAGTTGAGATCTAATTATTGTGGTGATTGGTTTTAATTTGGCGATTTATGCGGCTAGTGGCGATTCGATTTTTGACTGTTCCCAAGGCCACGTGCCTACCCACTACTTTGACAGGCGTGGAAAGTGGACTGCCATGTGTACCGCACTCAGTCTAATTGAATTAGACCAATTTTGTGAAGCAAATCAGAAAACTTGACTTCACTTAGTGGTTTTGTGAAGATATCCATCAATTGTTCTTCAGTTGAGATATACTCAATTTTGATATCTTTCTTTTCCACATTATCTCTGATGAAGTGATGCTTGACATCAATGTGCTTAGTGTGAGATGGAGTTTTATTTCTTACTGAACTAAGAAACAAAATTTCCGCCAATGAATTGACAAGTACCAGATGTACTCTTCCGATCAACTTTGCATCCGGCAAAGTCAGAGTCTGAGTATCCCACTAACTCAAATGAATTTCTCTTAGCATACCATGAACCCATGTTCTGAGTTTCTTTGAGATATCTAAGAATCCTTTTAGCTGCAATTAAATGACTTTCCTTTGGCTATGACTGGAATCTAGTACAAACACCTACTGCATATGAGATATCCGGATGACTTGCAGTAAGTTAGAGTAGACATCCAGCTATTCCTCTGTAGAGAGTTTGATCAACATCCTTTCCATCTACATCCATATCAAGCTTGGTGGATGTACTCATGGGGACAGAAACGGATGACTTCTGATCAACTTTGAAATTTCTTGATAAGGCCCCTTGTGTATTTGGCCTAGTTGATGAGAGTCCCTTCACTTCTCTTTTTGATTTGAATACCAAGGAAGTAGTTGAGTTCCCCATCATGCTCATCTCAAATTTTCCTTGCATGAGGGTGGAGAACTTGGTGCAAAAAGCTTCCTTAGTTGAGCCAAATATAATGTCGTCCACATAGATTTGGACCAATAAGAGATCTTCTCCATCTTGAAGTTTGAACAGGGTCTTGTCAATGACTCCTTTGATGAATACATTGTCTATAAGGAATTGAGACAATGTATCATACCAAGCTCTTGGTGCTTGTTTGAGTCCATATAGCGCCTTTTTGAGTCTGTACACTTGATCGCCTTTAGTGTGTAACTCAAATCCTGGAGGTTGGTCCACATAATAAACTTCTTCCTCTAGGTTTCCGTTGAGAAACGCACTTTTGACATCCATTTGATAGACTTTGAAGTCCTTGTGAGCAGCAAAGGCTAGAAACAGCCTTATGGCTTCAAGTCTAGCAACTGGAGCGAAGGTTTCATCAAAATCTATACCTTTTTCTTGACAATAACCTTTGGCAACCAACCGGGCTTTGTTTCTGACAACAACGCCATTTTCATCCATCTGGTTCTGGAAGACCCACTTTGTCCCAATGACATGTTGATGAGTAGGTCTGGGAACAAGTTTCAAACGTCATTTCTGGTGAATTGGTTGAGTTCTTCTTGCATTGCATTGATCCATTCAGAATCAGCTAGAGCTTCTTCAATATTCTTTGGTTTCACTTGTGAGATGAAACACACAAGCATGGCTTCTAGATTTTGTTGAGCACTCCTTGTGCGAACGCCAGATTGAATGTCTCCAATGACTTGTTGAGGAGGATGATCCCTTAACCAGTGAAGATTGTGTTGATTTGGGTTGACTGGTTAATCTAGTTCAGCTTCTGGTTGAAGAACAAAATTTGTTGGTGATTCTGGATGGATTGGCACTGGGTCGCCATTTTCGAAATTGTCGCCATTTGAGTGATCCGGGATATTGGAAGGCTGGCCATGATTTCCGGTAGGCTCAGCACCGTCTGAATCCGGATTTCTTTGTGAAGTCTTCAGTGGTAGACTTCCGAATGGAATGAACGCCGTAGGCTTCATTCTATCTTCTTTATTGATTTCTTCATCCTTATCTTAGAGATCCAAAACCTCATGATCATGCTTTGGTGGCTTGTCAACCACATGTTTTTCATCAAAAATAACATGTATTGACTCTTCAGTGATCATGGTTCTTTTGTTGAACACTCTGAACGCCTTGCTCACCATGGAATATCCCAAGAAGATGGCCTCATCTGATTTCTCATCAAAAGTGTTCAGATGATTCTTCCCGTTGTTTAACACAAAGCATTTGATCTCAAAAATATGGAAATATGGCTTTCTCCCATTCCACAGTTCATAGGGAGTTTTGTTGTGCCTTTTATAAATCATACTCCTATTTTGAGTATAGCAAGCTGTGTTTACAGCTTCAGCCCAGAACCTCTTTGGCAAGAAAGCTTCGGCTAGCATGGTTCTTATTGCTTCCTTCAAGGTTCTATTCCTTCTTTCAGCTACACCATTCTGTTGGGGAGTCCTTGCTGCTCATGTCTGATGAAGAATTCCGTTTTCTTCACAGTAAAGAATGATGATTTCATTCAGGAATTCTGTGCCTTTGTCAGATCTGATCTTCTGGATGGTCTGACTTGCTTGGTTTTGAATTAGCTTCATGCAGTTTGTGAGCTTCCCTTGTGTTTCCTTCTTGCTGTTGAGAAAGATTGTCCACGTGTATCTTGAGTAGTCATCAACTACAACCAGGACATATTTCTTTCCACTTAGACTTATTGGTGTAACAGGGCCAAATAAGTCCATGTGAACAAGACTGAATATCCTTGTAGTTGAGGGTACCGATTTTGCCTTGAAAATGGACTTGACTTGCTTTCCTTTCTGACAAGCATCACAAATGCTTTCCTTCTTGAATACAGCTTTGGGAAGACCTTCTACTAACCCTTTGGATAGCTTGTTGAGAGTTTTAAAGTTGAGATGACTCAACCTCTTATGCCAAAGCCATAGAAGGTTAGTGTCACCTTTACTGATTAGGCATGCTTCCTTGACATCGTCCCATATCACTTCATAGATGTTTCTAATTCTCTTCCCAGTGAGAATGACTTCATTTGTGGATATGTTCTTGAGGTATGCCATGTCCTTGCAGAATTCCAAGGAATAACCTTTATCACAATACTGACTTATGCTAAGAAGGTTATAACTGAGACCTTCAACATAAGATACAGCTTGGATGGTTAGTCCCTTGTACACCAGATTTCCTAGCCCTTTACTAAGACCAAAATCATTGCTTCCTCCAAAGGTAACTCATGGACCATCATAGGGAATTAGATTGCTCAAAAGACTCGCATCACCCATCATGTGTCTTGAACAGCCACTGTCTAAGTACCAGACACCTGGGTACTTAGCGGCTTTCTACATTAGGAGGAGAAAGATTTTGGTACCCATTTCAGTTTGGGTCCAGAATAGTTAATGGTGTGTGTCCCTACATCAAGTTTGAAGTTGCAGGGAATTTTCCTTGCAACTCTAACTTCCTGGGATTGTAGTCATAGTTTTAGGCATAAATTTTCCTACGTGTCGGTGGTGCAATTTCCTATTTCCTCCTAGCATACTTAGGTTGATAAGAACTATAGTTTTGTCTAGGTTGTGCATAGTGTGATCTGTGACGGTTGTAAGCATACTTAGGTGGAACAAATATTTTCTGGGGCGGAGGATGACTATATCTTGGCATATTTCTCAACTTTGAATTTCTTGGAAAACTCATATCTACCCCATAATGAGTATAGCCTCGTGTATAGTGGGGTTAGAAGGTTTTCTTCTAAAATTGTTTCCTTTTTGAGGTGTGTCCATCTTCCTATAGTTCTTAAGAGGGACTACCTTTTTGGGAACTTCTGTTGGTTTCTCTTTCTCCTTTCCTTTTTGCTTATTGGGTTTGGCAGTAGGTTTAGGAGAGATAAAAGTTGTTCTCCCTTTCCTTTTAGAACTGGAGGGGTCAAACCCAAGTCCTTCACGACCTTTATGTTTGGTAGTTTCAAGAAGCTTATCCACTACTTCTTTGGACTTAAGTATCCCTAGCTCCTTGTTAAGGGATTTCACCTTATCAGAGAGAGATTCATTTTCAGCCTTGAGTTGAGTAATCTCACTTAGTTGACTCTTCCGACCTTCAGTCAACTTGAGATTCTCTTCACTTAACAGCTTCTTCTCCTCTGTTAAGATGAATGTTTGAGATATATTTCCTCAAAATCTTTCATCATCTTTTTGAACTGGTAAAAAAGATTTTTAGAAGTTGATATGCTTTCATAAGAGGATGAGCAGGAGGTTTGTGAAGTTACCTCTTGATCAACATCATCTTTGGCCATTGGGCAGAGTGTCATCTTCTGACATTGTCCATCGATCCTCATGGTTGGACTTCTCAGTTCTGCGCTCCATGCAGACAAGGGCTTCTTCATCCGAGCTTGAGCTGGATGACTCGTCACTTTCAGCTGCAACCATTGCCTTCTTCTTCTCGTTTCTTTCTCTTTCTCCGTACTTCTCCACTTTTGGGTACGGGCATGCTGACTTCCAATGACCAGGTTTCCTGCAGTTATAACACAAATAAGATTCAGGAGGGAAGTCACTTACATGTGGCTTTCCCTTGGATGGCCTTCTGACTGAGTTAGCTTTCTTGAAGAACTTCTTGAACTTCCGGAATTGCTTGACCATCATGGCAAATTCCTCATCATAGTTCTCCATNTACACTTGTGTGAATTTCTGCAGGGTATATCTTCGCAAGACCAATATTGCTACTGCACTCGTGTTGGCTTTGTTGTTCCTTCGAAGGTCACGCTTCTTCAACAACTGCAAGATCCGAACAATAGGATTTGCAAAATCAACTTGTAAGAAAGTTGATATACCCCCTTTTAATCAAGAAGTTTGATTAAAAGTTGTATCCTTCAACGTGGTGTGGTACTTGAGGCAAGGAAACCTTCAAGTGTTTACACTATAGCTCTTTGGACAGAGGAGAAGTTTGCTTCTGGATAAGGAGTTTAGAGATCTCTCTTTATCAAGGTTTTTGGGCTAACTGTGAATGAGATAGCTTTTGATGTAGTTTTCTTCGTTGTTTGTATTTCGTGCTTTTCTATCTCATATTATCTCCAGTCCACCAAGGATGCTATTTATAGCTGGATTGGATAATCTATCCGTTGAATCAAAATAGACTATCCGTTGCATTTGCTGGCTTCAATTTTGAATGAAGATTGTGATTGAGGATTCCTCATTGGAATGGGTGTTTGGACATACGCAATTGTTTGATGAGGGATTCCTTTTTCCACAGAATCCATCTTCTAGCTGTTGTTCAAGAATTCTAGACGGTAGCTCTTTACTCAGTTTGTCTTCTAGTGCTTGTTTACGAATTCTGGACGAGCTCTTTAATTTGAGAGGTCCATACTTTGTCTTCAAGTCATTTATTCTTGAATCAGCTTAATTATCTTCAATCTAGCCGTTGAAAATCAAGAGATTGATTTTTCCTTACCAAAGGGTAGAATTTCTTCATTCAAGACTTTTCAACTGGCTCCAAAAATAAATATAATTTTGAACAGTAAAAAAGATTTTTCAACTGGCTCCAAAAATAAATATAATTTTTATTTTAACTCCCATAAAAACTATTTTTGGAGAGAAGATTATTTTTGTAATTCTTAAAATTATTCCTATGACTCAAATAAATAAAAAGTCTTTAGAAATCTTCTACTCCTCCGAGTCCTCCGTTAGGCGCTCCGAACGCGTCTCGGACTCGCATAAAATCATGTGCACCTTCTAGAATACTTCAAGGAATGACACTTCAAGTCTTCGTGTGTGTCGTTGTAGCACTTTGATCTTGACTTGAATAAAGTGTGTTTGTCAATTATCTAAACCTGTGAGTCAACACTTAACAACACAGAAAGGGTTGAACTCATGCATTCCAACAAATTATTACTCAAGGAGAGTGCTGGGAAAAATATAATAGATTTTGATGATGATGTATTTAGATTGTAATAGGGACTTTAGATCTCCCCCAATTTTCAATGTAATTTTTCTTTTTAGAAATATTGTTAAAATTGAGTTCTTGAGATTTCCAATAAAATTTGTGATATTTCGCTTTGTGGTTTGATGCTTGAAGACTTAATCAAATTCAATGATATGGAAATTGGATATCTTGATCGGAAATCTCAGAGACAAGTAAGGATTTCTGAAAGCAGTTGAAGATCCTCTAATCTGGAACACTACATGATAACTGGATGTCTCGCTACAACCCGCTGAAGGCTAAGTCATCCGAATCGGAAGACTAGCGCGGATCTCTTCTCACCTGGAAGTCTATGAATGACTCTTCCGGATTTGTCAGCGAAAGAACCGGATGCCTCAAGAAAGACCAGAACTCTCAGAAGCGGACAAATGAGAAAAGTCTTAGAAAATTAACTAAGTCTTGAATGAAGAGATTATACCCGTTGGTAAGGAAAAATCAATCTCTTGATTTTCAACGGCTAGATTGAAGATAATTAAGCTGATTCAAGAACAAATGACTTGAAGACAAAGTCTGGACCTATCAAATTAAAGAGCTCGTCTAGAATTCCTAAACAAGCACTAGAAGACAAACTGAATAAAGAGCTACAGTCTAGAATTCTTGAACAACAGCTAAAAGACGGATTCTGTGGAAAAAGGAATCTCTCCTCAAACAATTGGGTATGTCCAAACACCCTTACCAATGAGGAATCCTCAATACAATCTTCATTCAAAATTGAAGCCAGCAAATTCAACGGATAGTCTATTTTGATTCAACGGATAGACTACCCAATCCAGCTATAAATATCATCCTTGGAAGACTGGAGAATATAGAAGAGTAGAACAAGCAAGAGAACACTACGAAGCAATCTCAAACAACAAAGCTATTTCATTCACAGTTAGCCAAAAGCTTGATAAAGAGAGATTTCTAAACTCCTTATCCAGAAGCAAACTTCTCTTCCTTCCAAAGAGCTATAGTGTAAACACTTGAAGGTTTCCTTGCCTCAAGTACCACACCACGTTGAAGGATATAACTTTTAATCAAACTTCTTGATTAAAAGGGGTACATCAACTTTTTTACAAGTTGATCTTGCAAGTCCTATTATTCAGATCTTGCAGTTGTTGAAAAAGCGTGACCTTCGAAGGAACAACAAAGCCAGCACGAGTGCAGTAGCAACATTAGCCTTGCGAAGATATACCGTGCAGAAATTCACACAAGTGTAATTGTTGGTTCATTATTCAACAACCAACTACATAGTGGATTTTGAGGACGTAGAAGGATTACCCCACCTTCGAACCTCGTTAAAGTTTGCGTGTCTCTCTCTTTTATCTTTACTCATACTTGCAATTATATTAACTGTGAAAACTAACCCATCCATATTGATTACTGCTCAATTACCCACCAAATTCCACGCACAATCTAAAGTTCACAAGAACTCTAGATTAACACTCATTTTCATGCATTCAAAAGAAACGAAAAAGTTTTAAATTTGTAACAAAGTCTATTCACCCGCCCTCTAGACTTTGTATCTCACCAGTTTGGGACCACCAATTGGTATCAGAGCAAACTTCTCACTATCTACATTTAGATTAACGAGAAGCGATCATAATGGTGAACAATATGGATCACGATATGCCCATGTTTTCTCTTCTAGGTTATGATGATTGGAAGATCATGATGGAAGCACACCTTTATGCTCTACATGACTGCATGTGGATGGTGCTTGAAGATGGACCCTTGAAAATCCAAATGGAGAATCCTGAGAGGAATTCATCCAATCCAGATGTAGTCCAGTACATTCCAAAGCCCAAGGAGAAATGGGATGATAGAGATTGCAAGAAGCACAATCTGGAGATTTGGCAAGATCTTGGGAAGCTGTGTGAGGGATCAGAGGATCTAAGAAAGCTGAAGATAGAAGTTCTGCTTGAGAAGTTCAAAAGCTTCAAAATGCTTCCCGGAGAATCATTTGATATGTTGGATGAAAGATTCCACAAAATTTTGAATGATCTTGCATCACTTAACCACGTTCTCTCCCCCAAAGAAAAGAATGTAAGGTTACTGAGGTCTCTTCCAACTGAGTGGTACACCATGGCCACAGCCATGGAAGAAGGAAGAAATCTGGAGAACTGGTGGTCCCAAAGTGGAGAGATACAAAGTCTAAAGGGGGGGTGAATAGACTTTGTTACAAATTTAAATACTTTTTCGTTTCTTTTGAAAACGTGAAAATGAGTGTTAATCTAGAGTTCTTGTGAACTTTAGATTGTGCACAGAATTTGGTGGGTAATGAGCAGTAATCAATATAGATGGGTTAATTTTCACAGTTAATATAATTGCAAGTATGAGTAAAGATAAAAGAGAGAGACACGCAAATTTTAACGAGGTTCGAAGGTGGGGTAATCCTTCTACGTCCTCAAAATCCACTATGTAGTTGGTTGTTGAATAATGAACCAACAATTACACTTGTGTGAATTTCTGCAGGGTATATCTTCGCAAGACCAATATTGCTACTGCACTCGTGTTGGCTTTGTTGTTCCTTCGAAGGTCACGCTTCTTCAACAACTGCAAGATCCGAACAATAGGATTTGCAAAATCAACTTGTAAGAAAGTTGATATACCCCCTTTTAATCAAGAAGTTTGATTAAAAGTTGTATCCTTCAACGTGGTGTGGTACTTGAGGCAAGGAAACCTTCAAGTGTTTACACTATAGCTCTTTGGAAGGAAGAGAAGTTTGCTTCTGGATAAGGAGTTTAGAAATCTCTCTTTATCAAGCTTTTGGCTAACTGTGAATGA